AAAAATATCTGAAACCAAACAAGAAATGGCACTCCGTGTATACTCCTTTACCTAAAGGACTTTCTCTTGTTTGCTTTTGCGTGGTAGGAGAGTCCTGTTCTTTGGCTCTCAGATGTTTTCTCCAGTGAGTGTAGTGAGTGTATCAGAATTGTTGGAAGGGAACCAGTTGCACTACCTGTAATCTAAGGCATGTGGCCTTGAAACTGGGCTGAGATCCTGGGAGAGCATCCTTGCCTTTCTTTAGATTTCTACCACTCTTCTCCCTTCCCAGCAGTCCTAACCACTAATTGCTGGACAAGCATTTAAGTTCCCTCTTTTCTTCCTGATATCACAGAAGGGAGGACTTTGGTAACCCTTCATTCTAGTGAAATTCTCAGTGGGGGAGCATATGGATGAGAGAAGCCCCCTGGAACACTGTTCTTTATCCGGGACTATTAATTTGCTCCGTGCCCCTAACTTCATCTTCTCCCACTGCCTTGCCTACTCTTCTCTTCCAGTCAATTCTTCAGTAATGTCTGTTACAGCCAATAGTGTGAACTTGGGCCTGAACATCCTAGTCATACACCACCCCATGTATTAGCACACACTGCACGGAAGTGTAACCCTACCCCTAAATGACCATCCAGTTTTGAAGACAGTGATGCTGTTCTGGGTGTTCTGACTCAAACCCAGGATGAACCTGAGATCCTGAATCTGTTTGATGAAGTTCTTAGTTACTTAAGTATCTCTACCAGTGGTAGGCATCCTTGAGTACCTGATGCCTGGCACTTAGTACTTTTTAAAAATTATTTTTCATTGAAGAAATGAAAGCAGCTTTAGGGAATTGTTCAGGAAAACAGAAAAGGAGTCTTTGTATTACCTCTGATTATTATGGAAGTTGGAACTCCGGAAACGTTTAATAATTATTTCAGGCTTCACAATATTAGAATGTCAAACCTTTCTGGAACACCCCTCTAGATTCTGAAATGTGAAGACCTTGCTTTGGAAATCTTTGAAAGAATTCATGTCATTGACCAGTAGATGGCAGTCTTACGCTGTTGTTCAGGGAAAGCCAGGCGCAGCAGAAGATAAACATTTCAGGATACAGTTGACCCTTGAACAACACAGATTCGAATTGCACGGGTCCACTCGTACATGGATTTTTTTTCAGGAAGTATACACTACACGACTGGTTGGTTGAATCCATGATGCAGAATTGCAGATACTGAGGGCCAACTGCAAAGTAATACTTGGATTTTCAATCTGGAAGAGGGTGGTGCCCCTACACCCCACTGTTGTTCAGGAGTCAGCTGTGCTGTCCATCCATCATCTTCCCTCCCTCCTGATCCCCACAAACCCCCTCCCACTTCCATTCTACCCCAGACAACTCTCTCACCCACCTAATCACCTCTCTTCAGGTGCCCAGGGATGAACTGCTGCCGGTCTCTAGTTACTCGGAGAAAAATATCTTTTATACTTGTTTATAGTCATCTCATAGGAACAAGACTGGCTACATAATTTGCAAGACCCAGTATAAAATGAAAATGCAGGGCTCCTTGTTCAAAATTAATTGAGAATTTTAAAACACTAACAGCAGAGCATTAAATCAAGCACACAACCCTTCTGAGCCTGCATAGGTCACACACCCATGAAGCCAGCCATGCTTACGGATTTAAAAGATATCTCTCTCTCCCCACCCCACCCCTTGTCATTTCAACACCTCCCTGTGATATATACCAAAGGGGCTGCTTAAAGGAAGAGTCACTGACTTGTTATTCGGATATAGAATCTTAGCACTGGATCTTAGTGCTAGAGATTGTCTGGTCCAGTTAACTCATTTTCAAGATGATTGAACTAAATTCAGATGAGACTTGCCCAAAGTCCCCAAGTAGCTATGTCACAGCCTGGACCAGACCTAAGAGTTCTCATCCGCCAGCCAGGGCTCAATCTACCACACAGGTCCCATGAGGGATATTTTAAGAAGGGAATTCTCCCATCTATTCAAGTCATTGTTGGCCCTGTTTTCTCTACAAGAGAAGGGCACAGGTTCCTATTACTTTCATCTGTTGAGTATCAGCTATGTGCTGGGCACTATGCTAGATGTTTTATAGACAATACCTCAGTTAAGAACAATCTCAGAAAGCCATTGCTATTTCCCCCATTTTTCAAGTGAGAAAAATTAAGTCGCAGAACTTGAGTTCTAGTTAGTAAGTGGAAATGAGACAGGAGGGAAGGGGGCAGGGCACGGACCCTCCCTTGGCAAGGTGTGAACCGGGGACCCGGCTGAAACTGGGACATGACCATTCTCACATGCACCATTTTCCTGCAACAGAAAGGCTAGGGTTTAGGCAAGTCTGTGTGATTCCAAAACCAACACCATTTTCACTATACCACTCCTGAGTTCTAGGGAGGCTGAGGCAGCCTGTATTTCTGGAACATTGGTCTCATTTTTAATTATCTCCGGATGATCTTGGGGACTTTGATGAGGTGATCCATGTTCTTCAAATGTGCCACAACTTGTTCCACAGTATTTCCTCCACATGGAACAGTCTTCCCCCAGAGTGTCCTTGAAAACAGGAACACGTGTCAGATGGGCGATGAGGGATCTGATCACAAGGGGTCTTACAGGCCATTAGAAGGACAGTGGCTTTTGCTCTGAATGAAATAGGAGACACTGCAGTATTTTGTACAGAGGAGTGACAGCATCTGATTTAGATTTTTAAAGGCTCATCCTGGCTGCTGTGTTGAAAAAGAGACTAAGAGGGCAGAGTAAGGAAGGTAGAAAGTGGAAGGCTTTTTAGGGATTATTACAGTAATCGGGGAAAGATAAATGGTGACTCTTGCCAAGGTGAGAGTGATGGAAGTGAGGGGAAGTGGATGGCTTCTGGAGTTATATATGTGTATGTATTAAATTTCTAACTTTTTGTCATGGAAAATTTCAAGTACATATAAAAGTTAGGAGAAAAGTTTATGAACTGCCATGCTCCTAATAGGTACCCAGTCAGCCTATCACGTGTCAGACACTTTCCAACAGCTGCAACAGTTGTCAACTTGTGACCAGTCTTGTTTCATCTTTACCCCTCCCCACTGTCTCCCCAACCCTAGATTGAGGAGGAAGCAGTTTGAAGGAAACCCCAGAGGCCACATTTCATGTATAAATGTTTCGGCTTTTACCACTCCAGCTGCTTCTAGCTGCCCCTCTATTCTGAGATTCACGCTGTGGCTCCTGCTTGCTCATTGCTTTGTGTTCTCATGGCTTTCACCTACTGCTTGCCCTCTTAGTCCTCTTTCCGCCTTTTTCCTTCTACCAATTACTGTGTATTTCTCAAATTCAGAATCTCTAAAGAGGGGTTCTTCTAGGTTCAATTAGTTGTGTTGTTCCTTCTGCACAGAGCTTGTAAACTGGCTGAGTTGTGCTGGATTGGCTGCTTTTGGGTCAGGCACCCTCTCTTGGTCAGTCAAGTTGACATGCTATCAAGGCCCATTTCCCAAAGAGGGGTTATAGCAGTGGCAAACTTAGCAAATGATAGGCTGCTCTTCAGTTCTAATAAATAGTAGAGATTTAATGCTAGAAAGGTTATAAATTGTACACAAAAAGTGAGCCTGCAATGAGGCTAGAAATAGATAAGTGCCTAACCACTTAATTGCCATTATTTTACAGTCTGACCTGACTCATTTGGAGTGCTATTCTTGGGTGCCACAAAGGAATTAAGGGACATTTTAAAAGATATTTTTGTTTATAATAGGCTGAGTGATAGCATAGATCATAATGTACTGGGCTGAAAGTCAGGACCTACATTTAGTTCCTGTGTTCATCATGGACTCTGTACTACATTAGACAAGCTAATAAACTTCTTGATGCCTTAGTTTCTCCACTTTCAGATGAGATTAATACCTGCCCATTTCCTGTTTCACATATGTAGATACCATAAAATCAGAGAGGTAAAAGCACTTTGAGACTTTATTTTAAAAAAAGCATGTGAAAAATCTAAATAACTACTATGTCCTATGTGAAGTTTTTAATGAAGTTGTAAAACAAACAGTGGATTTAAGTTCTTGCTTTTTGCAAAAGATTACATATTCTCTAATCTATTCATCTTCATCATGTACTTAGATGTTTTTCTTCCCACATTGTAATGTGTCTGCCATGTTTATATAGCACTTAGAATGGTACCTGGAACTTGGTAAGAACTGTATATATGTTATCTGTTACCTTTATCAGTATGAAAAAAAATTAAAACAAAAGTCTGTAGAGTTAAATGCTTAAAAAATTGATCTCCTTCCCCGCCCTGTAATACATACGCACCTAAAATGCAGTTGCTTGAAATACATAAAATAGAACATCATGTGAATATATGAGTGAAAGAAAACGTTTGGGGCCCTGGAAAATTGTCAGTGTTTATGAATAAAAGGGGGGTGATACTTGGAGGTGACATTTTTGTTATCTGAGAGCCCGTTTGTTCTCAGACAGGTTAGTGTACCTGCTGCATAAGAGTTACTTGGGAGTTTTCTAAAATCCCTGGTTCTGTTTCTGGAGATTCTGATCTAGTAGGCTAACAGTGCAGATTAAACGTGTAATTTTTCTATTTAAGTTTCTCAGCTGATCCTGATGCTCACCCAGGTCTGGGAATCACTGACAATGTAGAAAGATATGATACAGCTCTTTGCCTTAGTATATCATTTCTTTCCTATCATATTATTCAAAGTATGTGGTATGTCTGGGGAAATACACATTTGCACACCCACAAAAGACAACGGGGAGGATGTCTGTTAAAATCAGAATGGTGATTATCTCTGAGTTGTGGGTTTATGGAAATATTTATTTTGCATTTGCCTTTCTTATTTCTAAAATTTCTGGTTGAAGGAAACAAAGGAAAATATTTACAACCAGTGCAGGATTTTAAAGCCTGCCCCCACCGCCATGCAATATATGTTTTCAGTTTACTGAACCCAAAACAGTCTATCAACGCATGTGTTGCATAGCTTTTTTTTTTTTAAAGGAGAGGCTACTTATAAAGCAATGTGGGAACAATATTTATTCATCTGTTTTTTAAAATGTCACAAATTCTTTTTGAACACCAATAAATGTACATCTTTGAGAATGTAAAACAAGTTAAATCCTAATTAGCTTTTGCTTGTTTTGTTCTGGCCAAGACTGGAAATAAAAGCCATTGGCCAATGTTTATAAAAGGACTAATCAGTCAGCAACTTTATACTTGATGAGGAGAGAAAAACGGTCCTGATTCAATATAGATTTTCCATCTAATTTGTGTTCTGGGCTGTGCTCCAAGAACAATGCTCACTCCTTTTTGAAGATCCTCTTGGCTTCTACTCCTTCATATGTGTAAGTCTGAAAAGTATTAACAAACATAGAAGAATTTGCCGTTAAGATTAAAGGCTAAATTAAGAAAAATATTAGTAGTAATATAGTTTTGAAATGAGTTTATAAAGTATTTTTTCTTGTACTTGATAGCAACATTTTATACAAATACAGGATATATCCATTTAAAAACACATTTTGGTTTGTAGTCACTTAAATTTTCAATTAAAATAGGCTTGATGTATTTGACGTATAAGTTCCCCTCAACAAACGGACATCAGAAAATATATTTTTAAAATTAGTAAGATGTATAAGAAAAGTATAGTCTATTTTTTGATGATATAACTCAACAACCCCCCACATAAAATTATTGTTGTATAGTTATTTTTGTCTTTGGGAAATGTTTTTCCCACTCACCTGGACCATTTCACCACCGATAATTTCTCGGACAGTATTTAGTTCGTTTCCATTGTCGAGCCGTTTGAATTTTCCAACAAGTTTATTTCCCTCTAGGCTCCAACTACCCTATATAAAAATAAAGAAAATAATAATAATAAAACAGCAGCTTTTAGAGTCCTGCATGTGTCAGGCACTATTCTGAGATCTACAGGTCTGCTCCTTCAAACTTGACTATAACCCTATGAAGTAGATATTATTATCACTATTTCACAGATGAGAAAACAGAGAGATACAGTAATTTACCTAAAGTCACAAAGCCAGGCTTGATCCTAGGCTGTTGGGCTCTAGAGTGTGTGCTGGTAACCATTCTGCCTGTCCTACTCAGTAGTTTGCAAATGCCAAACATTAAGGCAGATTGGCAGGGCCTCTTTTCTAAACCTTTCATGTTACAAAGAGTATTCTAAATTTAGTCATGGTTCAAATTAGCTTCATGGAGAAGCTCACAAGCTTGTGTTTGTTTTAATTTATGTAATTATTGTAGTGATTTAAAATCAGTCATAATTGATAAAATATTTGACAGTTTGCAATTGTCATTGCAAGCATGTATAATTTAACTAGAAAAATTCTGGGGACAAAAAGTTTTTTAAAAATCAGTTGAAAAATGGGCCTCTGTAAAATTTTATATCTTAAATATTAAAAGGTATATTCCCAGTGACACATATTGTATCATTAGACCTTTCCATTTGGTCACACACTCATTCACTAATTTATCCATTTATTTTATTATTTCAATTATGTTAATTAAATGTCTCTTATGTTTAAGCTAGATAACTCTGAAAGCTTTTGTTGTTGTCAGGTATGTAAACTTGAAAGCACTGAGCTTTAGTTTTCTTTATGAATAGGTGTATACCCAGTCTTTCAAAGGATATTTTTCTAATTCTTATTGTTTATTCCAGGTTCTTTACAGATGTGTGTGAAAATCAAAACATTATGTTTAAAATACTCTGCCACTTGTATGAGATATAATATGGATAAACTCCATTGGCTGCCTCAGTAAATGAAGGAGACCTATATTTATTAAACCATCCAATGACAGAAAGCAGAGATTATTTTAGTACTGTGTAGAAAAATTGGCAATGCATTGCTTATAAAAAATTTCTTACAGTGACTTCAGTTCCATCCGCGAGGCTGTAATTAAAAGTGACACCAAGCTCAAAAATAATTTCAATGCTTCGAAAATTGCTTGATTCTTTGACTGTGAATTTATTTCCTTCCTGTGTGATTACTAGTTTCAAATTGTCATGAGCTGCAAGCTTCCTTTTCACCACATTAATACCTGCAAAGGGACAGAGATTAGAGAAAATGAAGTCAGATTGATGTAGAAGGTGCTTATTTTTCTGAGTTCTGTATTAATGAACTAACTAATTAATTAATTAATATTTTGAGGATGGGAAGGAAAACCTGATAGCATTGCCTTTGCACAAGAGGATTCAGATTGCTTCTGTAGGAGAAGTTCAAGCTAAATCAGATCAAACTATTTTTCTAAAACTTAAGAAAAATTAAATAAAATGTAGAATTGTAGAATCTTAGAACTGAGTAATTCTTTAAAAATTATAAACATTTTTCACAGACATAGAAAACAAACTTATGGTTAACAGCAGGGCAAGGGGTGGGAAGGGATAAATTGGAAGTTCAAGATTTGCAGATACTAACTACTATATATAAAATACATAAATAAAAAGTTTATACTGTATATCACAGGAAACTATATTCAATATCTTGTAGTAACTTATGGTGAAAAAGAATATGAAGATGAATGTATGTATGATCATGTATGACTGAAGCATTATGCTGTACACCAAAAATTGACACAACATTGTAAACAGACTATACTTCAATAAAAATATATATGTTAAAAATTATCAACATTTTAATTTCAGGGTTAAGTAAATCAAATTCCAGGAATGTCCAGTGAAGAATTTTAAAAGTATATTTATATATTTATAAGGATATACAACTTTAATTTTGCATATATGGTACTCTTTTTTTTTTTAAAATGCCACTTTGCTTTCCATATTGGCTTTAACACTTTGAACTTCATAATTCTTTTTGCTTTTTGTGGCATTTCTGACTGTCACAAAAATGAGAAAATTCTTTATTGTAAGGATGTACCAATTCCATAAATTTAAACTTGGAATCTCTGAACTACAGTATATAATTAATGCAGATTTTTATTTTTAAGGGATGACATGAATTTTTTTGCCCATCTTGTTCAGTATATGGGCTGCTAGAGTATTGGTATAGATATTAAAATCAGTTAAATTAAAAACTTCCATAGAAACTACACAGCATCGTGAGATTATTCCAAAAGTTTTATAAGTCAGAGGAAAAGAGAATTAAGTCTCATTTATTCAGAGCTATGACTTTTGATAGAACTCTTTTTCATTACTTTATTATATGGTCTTTGCTTTTCCATCCCCTAGAATTCAGTGTTTCAAAGTCTGAAAGTTACCATTATGCACTGCCATATTTTACTTTCTAAACAATGCCAAAAAAAAAAAAAGGATCAATTTTCAATCAGCAGTTAATGTGAATGAAACATATCTGGATGTTTTTATGTTTCAGAGAATAGCACCCAAGAGTCTTTTCTTTCACTAGTGAGGCAGTGTATTCTTCCTAATGCTAGAAGGAAGAATATGGTTTTCCCTGCTTGGAACCATCACACTTTCTCAGTCCTCACTGCCACAACAGGTGCCATTCTCTAAGCCTTGAGGTTTAGAAGGAGTTAGAAGGAAAAATGTCTGAGAAACAAAAGAACAAGCCATTAAAGTATTAAGCCCTTACCCATTTTTTCCATAAACTTTTCATAGTTCTCATTTCGGTCTACCTTCCAAGTACCATCAAACGCCATGGTCTGCAGTTGATTGAGCCTCTAGGCAACTCTTCTCCAGTTAATTCAGCCTCTAGGCAATCAAAGATTCAGGTCTGTCCTTAGGAGAGAATTTATTCTCTTTCTTATCTTAGAACCAACTTCATACTGTGATGTGGAAGTTTAAAGTTCAAGGGGTCACTTAACTACACTAATGTCACACCATTTTAGTTTTCCGAGTTTCTATAAATTCCTTAGCTCCTCACCTAAAATTCAACTGCATTAAAACATGATAAGCATACCTACTCTGTCTTAAACTACAATTTGTGAGCACATTTATTTCAAGAATTAGAAGGCATACTGTCTGGATAGGTTTTCTGCTTACGAGTTCAAAGTGCATGTTATGTTGAATGTAACATGATTTATCAAATAACATCAGAGAAATGAGACTACTAATGACCTATCCCTTTTTTACAATAGCAATTACCTTGTAAAGTAAGACTTAATGACTGAGTACAACTGAAAAGTTAAAGTTGATATGATATTGAGGCTGAAAATTTATTAATTTTTCTAATGGTGTTCTTTTGCATTGTGTTTTGGGTTGCTAAGACTTTGGCATGACACACAATAGGTACCCATTATATTTTTGTTTTGATCTTGAATGATGATAGGCCACTAAGAAAAATTTCAAGAGGTAGAAGTGTGGCTGGATAACATGAAAACTCCCATAAGAGAGGGAATCAGCTTTAAACATCTACCACATGCAGAGAAGACAAAAGCCAGATGTCAGCTATGCCATTAGCTAAAACCATTCCTTTGTTTTACTCTCACTCCCTCTCATCCCCAAACCTGGTGCAGTCATAAGCCAAAACTCTGTGTGTGTGGTGGGGGGTTGGGGTATGAAGGGTAGATAGAAAGGTGACAAGAGGGGAAGGTCACCGTGGCTCTCCCTTCTCCGACTGCAGTCTTGCAATCTGGCGCAGGCCCTAGCTGGGGTCGGGGGTTAGGGGGCTTTAACTTAGCATAAAGTGCAGAGTTTTGATTATTAGTGAGCCTGAACATATTAATTACTAAAAGGAGACTATTATTGTGAGTGAATGTGACCAGAAAATCTCTTCAGTACAGAAGCTATAGGGCATGCCCAAGATTTCGTTCAGCATCAGGGGAAGGATAAATCTACCAGATTTGAGCAGGACATTGAGAAAAAGAATAAAGTGTTTTTTTTTTTTTTTAGTTTGATATCTATTGGGCACACTCTTTCAGTGGAGTTGCTCACTTTTTATTTTCTCAAGTAAGCACATTAAAAAGTAAACTACCTTCTACTAGCTCCATTATTTCATTTAAAAAGAAAAAGATCAGAGTATACACATGTACACACTCATATACACAGAGAGAGGAGGAGAGAGAAAGTGGGTAGGTCAGGGGAGAGAGAGATCATAATTTTAGAATAATAGTTTTATTTATACTTCTAGCTTTATGGAAAAAAATTGACTACTTTGTCTTTGTTTTCCTCTCTTTTCCCAAAGATAATGAAAACCTCATCATTTGGGAACCATAACCTTTTAGTGGACTTTCAACTTGGAGAAGAGAGGAAAAGTTTATGGTTACTCTAAAGCCAAGATCTAAATAGTCTTTCTGGTAATCCACTACTTACGGTGATTTGTGAATTTAGAAGGCCTTGGAGTATAGATCCAGTCTTTTTTCCTAGATTAGAAAAAACAGATGTATCTGGTCACTAGAACAGAAATGTAGTGTAGTAAAAAGAACATGTGTTTTAGAAACAAAGACTTGGGTTTCAATCCTTCCTAAAACACCCATTATACACTATGCGGGGTATTGATCATATTACTCAATCTCTCTGAGCCTCAGTTTCCTCATCTATAAAATGAAGATAATAACATTACCTAATACATACATACATAGGGTTTTATGAACAAAAATTTGATAAAGCACAAACTTAAGCAGCTGATAGACATCAAGTACTCAACAAACCTTTGTTCCTCGTTACATTCCCTGAGAAAGAAAATCCAACATCAGTAATAAACTTTTGGAAGTATCCCAGGCCTCAGACCACTTTGATGTTCAGTAAAGAAAATACATGTTTTCTGCTGTTTATTAGAAAGTAACCTAAAATTTATTTATTTAGGTATTTTGTGGCTTGCACTAGTGATTAACTTGGTACCAGGTATGACTTGGATTTGCCTGTTAAGGACAGCATGATGCTTTAGGTCTCTCTGGGAATACATCTTTCCTTTCTGTGATCTCACAGCGATTGAAGTAAAGTGGGGATATATATAGCTCAGTGGTATAGTGCATATTTAGCATGCGCACGGTCCTGGGTTCATAGCATGCTCATGGTCCTGGGTTCAATCTCCAGTACCTCCATTAAAAAAAAAAAAGAAAAGAAAAAGTGCCTGACTCAGGAAGGTGGGAAGGAAGAACCAAAAATGGCTTCTTACCATTGTTTACCTAACAGTGCCTTCCAAACAGGAGTTTACCCCTTATCTCATGGTTACCTTGAGCTTCTCAAGAAGACCAGAATAGAATCAGGTAGAAGCAGATAGTCCTTGGTCTCATGCAAACCTGCTAACAGAATGGACATGTGAAACTTTCAGTGTTCTATTTATCAGTGGCAGTAACCTAATTTAAAGTTGGTTAGGAATCCCTGTTCTCTCTGTAGAATGACATCACTGGATTATTATTTTTTTTATTACCAGATCAAATTTTTAACATTACACTTTTCCTTCTGCTGCTCCCCAACCCTGTAGTTCCCCAATTCTTATCACTTACCTGGAACCCATCTAGAAAAAGTTGCAGTGAACCTATGGACCAGTTTCCCTACAGACCTCTCATGCTGATGATAGAGTTGGGCCAACCAGCTGAGGGCAGAGCCAATCCTTTATTTTCTTCTTTGATAATACTAGAGGATTTAGGTTCCTGCAGCTTGGGAAAGTGAGTGGATTGGGGGTGCATGGACATGTGGGTTCAGCTGCCATGGAGGTAGAGTTGTTTTCTTTGTCTGAACTCTGTAGTCTCTGTCAGCCAGTGAGTGGTGTTGATGGAAGAAGTGGAAATCAGCAGAAGCTCCTGCACATCCCTATCCCATTCCCCTAAGAGAAAATGCAAGCCATGTTCTTTAACGTGGCTTCCCAAGCCCCCACTTTTATCTCCAGTCTCTAGCCGTTCCTTATTGTGTACTCTAAGATCTAAACCTTACAGTCCTCCGTCTCTTGAATGTGCTTGCTTTCTGTTGCTTCAGCTCACAGCTTGGTCACTGAGTGCTCGAAGAGGCCAACCCTGAACCACCAAGAATGGGTCAGGTACGTCTACTTCTCCCAGGTGTAGTGACCTTCTAAAGGTCTCAGCATTAAAAGGCAAGAACAGCTGATTCATGATAACCAGGGAAACATTAGTATCATCGTGAAGTCCAGAGATAACGTGAGGAGGGACAGTATGATGTTGCCAGCTCATCTCAAAGGAATAGCTTTCCAGTGATCAAAAAAGAATATATATATATAATGGAATACACACACACACACACACACACACCCACATCTTCTTAAAGCAATCACTTGTAGATGGGCACTTAGGTTGCTTCTGTGTCTTGGCTGCTGTAAATAGTCCTGCTGTGAACATTGGGGTGCATCTATCTTTTCAAATTAGAATTTTCTTTTTTCCCAGATATATATTTAGGAGTGGGATTGCTGGATCATATAGTAGCTCTATTTTTTAGTTTAGAATCTCCGTACTGTTTTCCATAGTGGTTGCATTAATTTTCATTTCCAACAATGTATGAGTGTTCTCTTTTCCACACCCTCTGCAGCATTTATTATATGTAGACTTTTTTTTTAAGTGGGGGGAGGTAATTAAGTTTATTTATTTATTTTAATTTTTTTATTGAAGTACAGTCAATTACAGTGTGTCACTCTCTGATGTACAGCACAATGTCCCAGTCATGCATATACATACATATATTTGTTTTCATTTTTCCATTAAAGGTTATTACAAGATATTAAACATAGTTCCCTGTGCTATACAAAAGAAACTTTAAAAAAATCTACTTTTATATATAGTGGCTAACATTTGTTAATCTCAAACTCTCAAATTTATCCCCTCCCACTCCCTTTCCCTGGTAGCCATAATACTAAGTCTGCGAGTCTATTTTTGTTTTATAGATGAGTTCACACTGTCCTATTTTTTTTTTAAGATTCCACATATGAGTGATATCATATGGTATTTTCCTTTCTCTTTCTGGCTTACTTCACTTAGAGTGATGATCTCTCGGTCCATCCATGTTGCTGCAAATGGCATTATTTTATTCTTTTTTATGACAGAGTAGTATTCCATTGTATAAATACACCACAACTTATTTATCCAGTCATCTGTCAACGGACATTTGGGTTGGTTCCATGTCTTGGCTATTGTATATAGTGCTGCTATGAACATTGTTCAGTCTTCTTTGTCATTTAGTCTGTTATTCATTGCTTCTAGATTGGTTTTCATCTCAGCAATTAAATTGTTTATTTTTGATTGGTTCATCTGTATAGTTTCTAGTTCCTTGCTTCAGTGATTGAAGACAATCTTTCTTAATTCAGTTAGCATTTTTATTAACATTTTTTTGATCTCGGGGTCTAGTAGATTGATGAGGTATGTTTCATTGTTTGTTCTTTCAGGGGATTTCTCTTGTTCTTTTAATTGGAGTAGTTCCTCTGCCTTTTCGGTTAACTTAACTTTCTCTGTCTCTATGAATTTAAGAGAAACAGTTATCTACTATGATCTTGAAGGGGTGTTTCTACTTGGACATGTCCCTGTGTGGACTGTGTATGTCCAGGTTTTTTGGTGCAAGTGCTGATTGCCAGTCGATCAGGGACAGGGTCTGCTCCCCAGTTGTTGGAGTAGAAACCCTGAGGGTTGGCTTTGATCAGGCTCTGTTGCCCTTGAGTGTATGCCCGGTCCCAAAGGAAGTGATTGCTCAATCACAGAGGACCTATGTGCCACCTGTGTGGCCATTCACGTTTTTGCTCAGAAGCAGCCCAAAGTCCCATCTCTTTCTCTGTTGTGTTTGTCCCAGTGCTAGTGCAAGGCTGTGATGTAGAGTATGCTGGGCTTGGGGGTTGGGGTGTTGTGGCTGCAGGAGTTAAGGTAGGTATGCTGTGCCTGAGATCTGGGCTGCCTCTGTGTCAGTCTTCTCCCAGGACCTTTCTGCCCTGGATCTAGTGCGAAGCTGCAGTGTGGAGTGGGCAGAGCTGGGAGGCTCTCACTGGGAGCTGAACCT